GAGCTATCCACTCTCTACAAAAAAATGGAAATTTCTAGCGACCTTAATTAAGTGGCATCCTAAGTAGGACACAAAAACTCAAAAGAACATCTAAAAACGGAGTCCTGCTGTCAGCAAGGAAGGGATCCACCGCGCTGACATGGCCCTAAGGCCACCGAAGACGATGCGGACCGGCGGTGGCGCCGATGGAAGGCAGATGAACCCTAGACTCTCTGAAGATTAAATAAAGTTCTCTTCGTCTAGCCTCCGTCCCGATGGTGCATTTGGTATCGACGGTGGGCGTGCGGAGGTGGGTCTCTGGCGGATCAATCCTTGGTCGATTTGTTCGGATCTGGTCGTACTTCGTCTACGCTTTTATGTGTCATTTGGTTGGATCCTTCCGATCGATACTACTCTTCAACAACGGCAGTTGTTGTTCTGGTGCGCTGGTTCTATGGGGCCTTAGCATGACGATTTTCTGACTGTCTACTATAACAACAAGTTTTGCCGGGCTCAGACGAGGAACGAGTGATGATGGCAGCACACCTTTGGCTCGCTTCAGTGTTCGTAGTCGTCGTTAGGTGGTCTACAAATCTTGACATATTTTTTTATTATTTCTGATGTTCATGGCACAGATCTGAAGTTTTCCTGGAAAAAAATTAAGTTGATCACGTAGAGTGCGTACAGATTGGTCCCAAAAGTCCTGCTATTGGTCCACTTGGTGCATCAATCTAACGGATCAACACAAATGACGGACATCTCAACAACAACAACAACAACAACAAAATACAAAAAATTAATGTTGGGCGATGCGTTAATTGGCCAACATCGCTGCGCGTACGGATGAACTTGGGATGCAGCCGTGTGTGCATGCATGGTGGATTAAATGGGCGTACGTGCGTTTCCCTGTTGACAACTGCACCCGAACCACCACCCTCGATTAGCTACTACTGCTGGCCTCTGCATGAATCTAATTTTACAAAGCACGTTAGAACAAGTATAATAAGATGATGCAGGCGAGCCGTAGGATTTAAAATATTATATTTTTACTGAGTTGAATGAGAGTGCAAAGGAGAAAGTAGAGATGCGGGGTGTAGATTTACAGCCGCTTGTAGCACGGACTCCAAAAACTATGTGAAAGTGTAGGATGGGAATGTTTCAAAAAAAATATATTTTGTTGTAATCCACTACCATACATTAGCTATAGATGACATGACACCATATTATAGCCACTGGTCGGCTATATTATTAACCATGCTCTTACTGCCAAACTCAATACTACCCAACATTAGTTGTCAGCCTCTTGTCTCAAGACTCAGGCCTGCGGTACACAATCTCTGTATATAGGTACAGTATCCCCGCGAATTTTGCTATGGAAGGCATGTAGGCTCATCGTTAACGACTTTTAGAGCAAGTACAATAGTAGGTTTATAGCCCGTTTACATGAGAATTTTGCTTATATAGAGAAGAGATACATGAAAAAGCATGGCGAGTAGGCTCTCATGCAAGAGCTTAGCTATATGAGTGCTTCAGGGAAAATTCAATAAATGTGAAGAAAAAGATACAGAGAAGATGAGAAAAAGTACTAATTTTATAGCCAACCTTGTTGCATGAGTGATTATATTGTTGTCTATAGATGATATGACAACATCTTATAGCCAGCAGTTGACTGTATCATTAACCATGCTCTTAGAGGGGTTTAATTCAGATTAGACTGGTCGTAATGGTAGTATCATAGATAGTATCATGCATGCCAACCAGACAATTTTGATAAGGTGTCATAGCATTAAATGAAGAAAGCGATGATGGAGTATCATATCATGATATCGTATCATAATAAATGTTACGCTACTTTGTGTCATGCATGGCAATAAATAAAGTACTACATAATACTAATATATGATACTATGCATTAGGGAGGTAGTATCATACACTAGTATCATATGCATGATACTAGCATATAATACTCCCCATTACAACCAGCCTCAGAGTAAGTACAATAGGATGACATAAGCATGCTATAAGGAATAAAATAATATATTCTTACTTAGTTGGAGGAGAGAGAAGAGAAGCGGACTCTTGGTTAGTAGGTTAGTAGCCAGCTACAACACGAGACCCAAGACGCTTTGTGGGGACGTAAGATAAACCAACTATTGACAAACTAGTACTCCCTCCGGTCCTTTTTAGTTCGCATATAAGATTTGTCTGAAGCCAAGCCTCGTAAAGTTGGACCAACTTTATAGAAAAAAATACCAACATTCACAATCTGAAATCAATACCAATAGATGTGTCATGACTTAAAGTTTCATATTGTATAACTTTAGCATGGCAGATGTTGATATTTTTTCATATAAATACGGTCAAACTTTGTGAAGTTTGACTTCAGAGAATTCTAATATGCAGAGTAAAAATGGCCGGAGGGAGTATATATTTACAACTTACTATTGTACATGCCGGATAAGAGGTTGACTGTACATGACATGACATGACAATTTCTTATAGTCGAGACCGTCGGCTGCATTATTAACCATGCTCTTATAGTAGCATAATCCGCCGAGCTGTAGTACACGATCGGGCTCATGATCCAACGAGTTTTATGAGCAGGTCACCGTAGTCTCCAGCTGGGAGGCACCGGGCCCCGTCCCGGCGTGTCACGCCGCGGCCGTGTGCAGCGACACGCATTTACACCACGCTGCCGTCAGCACGGCACTCGCAACAGTGACCCATGCGCTCGCTGCCATGCTTGCCAGCGCCTCCCATCTTCAGCTGTTCTATAGCGAGAGCTTTGCGCGGGCCACCGAATTAAACCACGGGCAGGAGCGGACAACAAAAATGGCTGCGAGC